TTCTTCGAATTCAATATGTGAGTTATGAAATAAGTGTAGGATGATCTCAGGAATCCGAAACTGCAAATCAAATTTCGATCCGACTTCTGGTTCGGAAGTTATGGCATTTTAAAAACTCAAAAATCGCTAAATTTTGTGCCCATGTTAATTCAATGGGAAAAAATATTTTTTGAAGTGGAAAATACGAAATATAGACTGAGTTCAGCTTAATTTAATGAAAGCTTTCAAAAGAAAGGGACCTCAAAAGCCATCTAGCTTCAGAATTTGGACACCAAAATTCCTAGGTCAAAATCTAGGTCAAATTCAAAGGTTTTCCTTATTTTTGCAATTCTGACACTATACTTCAATTATATTCTTCGAAATTGTGTATACATGTAGCCAAGAGTGTGCTAATAGTGTTAGCCATTTGCCGTCAGAAAGTATTTTGACCCACTTTTGAGATATGGTGTCCGAAATGTAGGTCAAAATAAAAAGTTCTCCAAATTTAACGTATGAGTTATGAATTAGGGGTAGAATTTTGTCAGGAATCCGAATCTGCAAACCAAATTTCGATCCGACTTCCGGTTCCGAAGTTATGGCGTGTCCGAAAAGTAGGTCAAAATAAAAATTTGCCAAATTTAACGTATGAGTTATGAATTAGGGGTAGAATTTTGTCAGGAATCCAAATCTTTAAATTTAGATCCGACTTTCGGTTCGGAAGTTATGGCGTTTTGAAATTTCGGAAAATCGATCTGATGGTATCCTGATAGAAAGTCAAGAGTAGAGAAGAAAATATTGAAAAATTCATCCATCCTTCCTATCTGATCCTATCCTATCCTATCCTTCCTATCTATCCTTCCTTCGTATCCTTTCCTTCCTATCCTCTCCTATAATATCCTTTCTTCCTATTCTGTTCTATATCCTATCCTTCTTTCTTATTCTATCCTATTGTTCCTTCCCATTCTATCCTATCCTACCTTCCTATTTTATCCATCCATCTTATTCTGGATGACTCAGCTTATTCTGGATGACTCGGCTTATTTTAGATGACTGGGCTTAAAAAAGTCTAGATCTGGAGTCTGAAATTGAACTTCGTTCAATTTCCAAAGTCTAGTTCTTATTCTTATTATTCTTTCGGAGTTTTTTCAATAACTATGAGGTATCCAGTAAGTACCATAATACAGTTTATTTAGGTTCAGTCTTTAGTTGGTGGGATATTGGGTCAAATTTTTATCTAGTTCAAAGGTCAAGAACTAGGTCAAATCCAGTACTTTGTCACTTTTTTCGATTTTCTCGGTCGTCCTTCAATATTTTCGATCCGGGTTTTTTTCATTGTGTTCCTTATAAAAAACTAGGAAACCTAGGGTCGATTTAGTTTTTTGATATCTCAAACCGATTTCGAGATATCAGTGTCCGAAAACGAGGTCCAAAAAAAAGTTCTCCGAATCAAATGTCCAGGATATTAGACTTATAGGAAATTTTATCAGGATTCCGAATCTGAAAACGAAATTTGGATCTGACTTCCGGTTCGGAAGTTATGGCGTTTTGAAAACTCAAAAATCGCTAAATTTGGTGCCCATGTTAAGTCAATGGGAAAAAATATTTTTTTGAAGTGAAAAATACGGAATATAGACTGAGTTCAGCTTCATATAATCAAAGCTTTTAAAAGAAGGGGACCTCAAAAGCCATCTAGCTTCACAATTTGGACACCGAAATGCCTAGGTCAAAATCTAGGTCAAATTCATAGGTTTTCCTTATTTTTTCGATTCTGACACTACACTTTAATTATATTCTTCGAAATTGTGTATACATGTAGCCAAGAATATGCTTATAGTGTTAGCCTTTTGCCGTCAGAAAGTATTTTGACCCACTTTTGAGATATGGTGTCCGAAAAGTAGGTCAAAATAAAAAGTTCTCCAAATTTGACGTTTGAGTTATGAATTAAGTATAAAATTTTCTCAGGAATCCGAATCTGCAAACCAAATTTCGATCCGACTCCCGGTTCGGAAGTTATGGCGTGTCCGAAAAGTAGGTCAAAATAAAAAATCTCCAAATTTAACGTATGAGTTATGAATTAGGGGTAGAATTTTGTCAGGAATCCGAATCTGCAAACCAAATTTCGATCCGACTTCCGGTTCGGAAGTGATAGCGTTTTGAAATTTCGAGAAAAATCGATCTGATGGTATCCTGATAGAAAGTCAAGAGTAGAGAAGAAAATATTGAAAAATTCATCCATCCTTCCTATCTCATCCTACCCTATCCTTCCTATCTATCCTTCCTTCATATCTTTTCCTTCCTATCCTTCCTATCCTATCCTATCCTTTCTTCCTATTCTATTCTATCCTATCCTTCTTTCTTATTCTATCCTATCGTTCTTTCCTATTCTATCCTATCCGACCTTCCTATTTTATTTATCCATCTCTTTCTAGATGACTCAGCTTATTCTGGATGACTCGGCTTATTTTGGATGACTCGGCTAAAAAAAAAGTCTAGATCTGGAGTCTGAAATTGAACTTCGTTCAATTTCCAAAATCTAGTTATTATTCTTTCTTTCCGAACACTTTTTCTCAGCAACTAGAAGGACTAACTTAAATCTGCTAACATATTCAACTAGGTAATGATACTTAGTTTCTGGGAAATTAGGTCAAATGTTTATCTAGGTCAAAGGTCAAGAACTAGGTCAAATCGTGGTTTTTCACTATTTTACAAGTTTTCTCAGTCGTCCTTCAGTATTTTCGCTCCGGGTTTTTTTCATCATGTTCCTTAGAAAAAGCTCATTGCAAATGGTAAACCGTTTTGTTGATTACTCTTACCGATTTTGAGATATGGCGTCCGAAATGTAGGTCAGAACATAAAAAGTTCTCTAAATTCAACGTGTGAATCATCAAATAAGTGTAGAATTATCTCAGGAATCCGAATCTGCAAACAAAATTTCAATCCGACTTCCGGTTCGGAAGTTATGGCGTTTTGAAATCTCAAAAATCGCTAAATTTGGTGCCCATGTTAAGCCAATAGGAAAAAAGACTTTTTCGAAGTGTAAAATACAAGATATAGACTGAGTACAGCTTAACATAATGAATGCCTATAAAAGAAGTGGACCTCAAAAGCTACATAACTTCAAAATTTGGACACCAAAATGCCTAAGTCAAAATCTAGGTCAAATTCACAGCTTTTCCTTATTTTTTCGATTCTGACACTACACTTTAATAATTTGCTTCAATATTTTGTATACAGGTAGCAAAGAGTGTGCTAATAGTGTTAGCCTTTTGCCGTCAGAAAGTATTTCTACCCACTTTTGAGATATGGTGTCCGAAAAGTAGGTCAAAATGAAAAATTCTCCAGATTTAACATATGAGCTATGAAATAAGAGTAGAATTTTCTCAGGAATCCGAATCTGCAAACCAAATTTCGATCCGACTTCCAGTTCCAAAGTTATGGCGTGTCCGAAAAGTAGGTCAAAATAAAAATTCGCCAAATTTAACGTATGAGTTATGAATTAGGGGTAGAATTTTGTCAGGAATCCGAATCTTTAAATGAAATTTCGATCCGACTTCCGGTTCAGAAGTTATGGCGTTTTGAAATTTCGGAAAATCGATCTGATGGTATCCTGATAGAAAGTCAAGGAAAAAAGATTTTTTTGAAGTGTAAAATACGAGATATAGATTGAGTACAGCTTAAGATAATGAATTCCTATAAAAGAAGGGGACCTCAAAAGCTACCTAGTTTCAATATTTGGACACCAAAATGCCTAGGTCAAAATCTAGATATAGACTGAGTACAGCTTAACATAATGAATGCCTATAAAAGAAGTGGACCTCAAAAGCTACATAACTTCAAAATTTGGACACCAAAATGCCTAAGTCAAAATCTAGGTCAAATTCACAGCTTTTCCTTATTTTTCGATTCTGACACTACACTTTAATAATTTGCTTCAATATTTTGTATACAGGTAGCAAAGAGTGTGCTAATAGTGTTAGCCTTTTGCCGTCAGAAAGTATTTCTACCCACTTTTGAGATATGGTGTCCGAAAAGTAGGTCAAAATGAAAAATTCTCCAGATTTAACATATGAGCTATGAAATAAGAGTAGAATTTTCTCAGGAATCCGAATCTGCAAACCAAATTTCGATCCGACTTCCAGTTCCAAAGTTATGGCGTGTCCGAAAAGTAGGTCAAAATAAAAATTCGCCAAATTTAACGTATGAGTTATGAATTAGGGGTAGAATTTTGTCAGGAATCCGAATCTTTAAATGAAATTTCGATCCGACTTCCGGTTCAGAAGTTATGGCGTTTTGAAATTTCGGAAAATCGATCTGATGGTATCCTGATAGAAAGTCAAGGAAAAAAGATTTTTTTGAAGTGTAAAATACGAGATATAGATTGAGTACAGCTTAAGATAATGAATTCCTATAAAAGAAGGGGACCTCAAAATTTACCTAGTTTCAATATTTGGACACCAAAATGCCTAGGTCAAAATCTAGGTCAAATTCATAGTTTTTCCTTATTTTTGCGATTCTGGCACTACACTTTTAGGATTTGCTTCAAAATTTTGTATACAGGTAGCAAAGAGTGTGCTAATGGTGAGAGCCGTTTGCCGTCAGAAAGTATTTTGACCCACTTTTGAGATATGGTGTCCGTAAAGTAGGTCAAAATAAAAAGTTCTCATAATTTAACTTATGAGTTATGAATTAAGGGTAGAATTTTCTCAGGAATCCAAATCTGCAAACCAAATTTCAATCCGACTTCCGGTCAAAAATTCCTACTTACCTACCCACTTACCTACTCAGCTACCTACTTAGCTACCTACTTAGCTACCTACTCAGCTACTTACTCAGCTACCTACTCAGCTACTTACTCAGCTACCTGCTCAGCTGCTTACTCAGCTACTTAGTTAATTACTTAATCATCTACTTACTCAGCTTCCTACTCAGTTACTTACTCAGCTCTTTACTCAAGTAAATCAATCTGGAGTCTTAAATTGAACTTTGTTCAATTTACCAATCTAGTTATTTTAACATTGCAGGCAGCATGTCATCGGATGAGGGAAGTGGCGGAATCCAAGGGAAGTTGAGTCTTCCTGGTTACCTGCCTGAGAAGTCAATCCTGCAACCCAAGCTTAACGCCATCTTTGCTGAGGTTGAGAAAAATCTTCCAACTATTGATTTCGATACATCAGATGTAAGTTATAATTTGAAGTTGTATCAAGAAAACATCAGGTTGAATATCTCTGTGATAAAATAATGCAATCATAATAAAAATGATATAAGCACTGACTGCTGGTATGGCTCATTACAAAACTATAAGTTTTTTGTTAGTACTTAGCACTACAGTCCTTGCCATACTTTTATTTAGAAAAGAAGAAATACAAGTCATGTTAAATCATCCATGTTTAAATATGTTCCTGTCAAATAAAATATAAAAATATTTCCAAAATCTGACCATTTTTTGTTACTGAGTGAAATTTTGAAAATCAATGAATCAACACTTCAGAAAGATTCAGAAGGATATCCAGATATTGCTAAATCATTTTCTTTGTTTTTCCAGATCAGCTCGGATGAAGAAGTTGGCATCTTTCAACGCTCTATAAAGAAACCAACACTTGATCTTGAAGATCTACATGATGAGAAAGATATTGATGAAAGTGAATTGTCTGATGGATTTGAAGCTTTAAATCCTGTTAATAACACGGATCAAAAAGTTGGAGATATTGACATAGATTTGCTAGGTAGGCTTGACAAACGTTTACAGGAGGAATGGAGTCGGGATGTACCTAAACAGCGGCCATTTTCTGCACCAGCAGCTAATGGTGACCACATTAACCAAAATGAGCTTGTTAAAAACAAAATAAATGACTCTGCTAAAGCAAGCATTAACGTCTCTAGCCCTCCTAATCCTATGCTACAAAACTGGACAATTGAGGCAAACGAAACAACAATTGAGGCAAATGAATTAACAAATGAGGCAAATGAATCACCAAATGTCAATGAGAAGTCCACCTCAATTGGAGTTTCATCAAATGAACTATGGGATGAGAATCAGAATAAAAAGTATCATGCTCAAGAAAAAGCGAAGAAAAAAGCTCAAAAATCCAAGCGTGATGAAGTGATTATGTCTAAGTTATTGCCCAAAGAGAACACAGTATTATCTCTACAAGGTCTGGATAGTCTAGATATTGGTGAGTATTCAAATATATGGATATTTCTCAAAAATTGTATAAAAAGATATTAACACAAACAATTTCTTACAATGAATTGCATATCTGTAAAAAGAATTTTCAATAGATGTCAATCAATCAAAATGCAAAGGCCAGATTATTTTAGATATTCCTAATTGTGAACTTATTCCTATGTTATCCATTTTTAGATTTACCAAGTGTCACTCCTCAAAGCTTCCAGTTAGACGAGACACTGGGGGGTGGAGAAGTGGGGGCCTCAAGAGCCAAAGGTAAGTTCGATCGTTCATAACTTTGTACTCATTTGTGTACTTAAAATTGTGAAAACATATCCTATTAGACTCACTTCTTAAATTAATCATGAAATATGAACCTTCGAAAGTCAGTTTTCATCTGAGAGTTTTGGACGGTGATTAGAATTTACTTGGATGTAAGGTTAATCCCAAATACCTCCCTTAAATCTCAATACTAAGTTTGAGTTAAAATAACCTTGGTTATTTACTGTATGTTCTCAGTACATTGTCATAACTGCAATAGTCAAGTATCTCAATGCTGCAAAAGTTGTTCCCCATTTTTCCAGTCTGTAGATATTCATAACTTTTCAGATTTTTTATAATCAACAAATAAAATTAATGTCCGAATGATCATGGGCTTTCAATTAGAGTCAACTACATGTAGTAGGAAGCCCATGGGATGATCAAAACTGAAGGTAAAAAAATATCATATTGGGAGCATATTTGTCTCAACCTAAATTTTCCAGAGCCCAGTATTGAACAGGGTAGTATTCTCCAACAACTAGCTGAGTTGTCAATGAAGCAATCTGGCAAAGAAATCAACAGTATTGACCCGAAAACAGGGGCTATTAAGAAGAAACCTCTACCTCCAAAAGCTACTAAAACCACCAGGAATAAGAATCAATGTAAGTCAAAGGTCATCTTGCATTGTTGTGTAAAGGTGTGTTACTTCTGCAACACTATAATATTGTATATTTCAAACCAATATGTTGTAATAATTTTAACAACTCTGAGCAGAATGGGATGTGTTATAAGAAAATCAGACTTGAAAATTACAATTAAAATATTAATAAATAGTAGTTTTTTAATTATTAATTAATGTATATACATTCCACTTTCCTCTGTCAGTTTATCTACATTAAGCTGTATATATTTTAGCTACTAAGCCAGATGTACGTAAGCAGACGTGTTCAATGGGAACAAACACCAATGACTTGCCTACGCCACCTACCCCGTCCTCTAGGCCAGGTAATATATGAATTCATAAGTGGATGTGTTAATAATAAACATATTTTGTTGACTAATTTTGGGAGAACATTGTACTTTTTTACTCTCTATATTATTATTCCCAACAGAAGTACATAAAACCCCCCAGCCTGATACAGTCTATATGGACCTGAGGAATTTCGACAAGAATCGCCAAAAGGAGCAAATGAACAGTGACGCAATTACTCGCATCCTTAAACTACAAGAGCCCAGCGGGTAATACAGTCTAATACCATATTAAAAAATAAAAAAATTATTAATTAATAAATAAGATATGAATAATAAAATGAAAATAATGAATAATAGTGCAGTTATTGATTTACAAGGAATGTAGATGGAAGCATTGTAAGGGGATTCTGGGATAGCGCAGCATGTCAAAAAATCTTCCCTGATTGATTGCGGAGGTTACTTAATAATTCTGTTATGCATTTTTAGAATTCCTTTTAAGTTCAAGCCAAGTCCATCACAATGCAAATTGGTTTGATCAAGTTTAATGTCTAGCTGGGGGTCGACCTGGGTAGGGAGATTTAATAGTTCAGTTCGACACTTGATGCAAACTAATGAAGTTTTAAAACTGAACTATAATTGATTCAGATAGGGGAGATTTGACGGTCCATTTCAACATATGATACAAATGATTGACCTATTTTATTCTCTAATTTTAGTTCTGTAAGCTCAGATTCGGATTCTGATGATGAAGATTGGAGAGAACAGAGACTGCATCTGAAACAAAAGTTATCTAAAGATAACAAGAACCATGGTCAGGATACAGCATGTAAACAACCCAAGCAGCATAGGTAAGAACAATCGACTTAAGATTAACAAATTTTATTCTTTTTTATTATTATTATTTATTATAATATTTATCAACAAAAATTGCACAGCGATTCCCTTACAATCCAAATTTTATTATCTGAAAAATAATTTACATATCTGTGTAGGAATTATTTATGGTTTAAGATGCAGAACTGTCCAAATTCAAATACAATTGAAAAGGCCCTCCTAATAGCTTTCTTCATTTGGATTAAATTAATACGAACATGGAATATTGATGAATTGTTTTCTAGTCTTGCGTAAGACCCTTATGACAATCCCAGCAGCTACCTCTGTAGGTGAAGATGAGAGATGGGGATTCAGAGGCTTAATGTAAGACTTTTCACTTTTGAATAACTTAAATAATAAACTGATGTGTTTGTTATTAGGCCAGTTCCAAAGAGGCCCCCCATGCTGTCTCCACGGACACCATTGACAGTTGTCACTCCAAACAATGCTCCGCCTCCAAACAAGAATTTATCTGGAACAGGTGAGATAAGATTAAGAATATTTGCACCCTGGACCCTGGTGTTTACAATTAAACATATATAGAAATGTATGGTAGAACGGTACAGTACATTGCATTTTATTACTCCAGGAACACCCCCTAATACCCCTACTGAGACAAAAGACAATATCACGGATGAGCAGAAACAGACAGAACTTGAAATGGCTCTAGAAAGGGAGAAAAAACGCAGATTTGAGATTGCCCAGTAAGTAGCATTTATTTTTTACTTTTTTTTTATCCAACATGATCTGTCTTTGAATCTTAAGGTTTAGTTTAGGCACTTCTCTTCTATGTCCTATGTCCACCCGCTATGGCTCAGTGGCAGAGAGAGTCAAGGTTACCAATATCGCTTGGCCCCGGGTTCGATTCCCGGTTCAGACAAGTTTGTTTGTGCGTTATGTAATTCTGGGTGTTTGACTGAGTGGTTCACGACTCGTATAAAAGGCTGTGGTGTGTACCTGTATGTCTGTATACCTGTGCACATAAAAGAAAACAGGGCTCCTCCAAGGAGGGGTTTCTGGCTCTATCTTCGAGTGTAAAATACGTAAAATACGGAATATACCAATGAGGTATTGCTCGCCAAATATGGCGGTAACCAAGATATAATAATAATAATAATAATAATAATTGTACTGTTGTACTATTGTAATGTTATGGAACATTCACTAATTTTATAGGTAACTCAAAATTAATATTATAAACTTTCAGAAAGTTACGAGCTGAGCGAGATCATGAGCGTCAATCGAGAATGAGGCTAAGTAAACGATTAGAGGCATTGCGTCCTTCCACCTCTGTTCGTGGCAAACAACCCTCTGGTGAGGCCACTCCAACATTGTTCAATGTGGTATGTGCAAAACTGGTCTTGGTTTACTTTCAACGAAAATATCTCATATCATATTTTTAAATGTGAATAATGAAAATCCAATCTTTTTGCTAAACTTACATGATAAAATATATGAATATATATATATATATATATGAGTTAGTTATTTTCAAAAGGTGGAGTGAAGTAATAGTACCTAGTTTGATCAATAGAGGGAACATTAATCTGTCCCCGGGAGGATTTTCCCCGGGAATGTAACTATACGCTTTGTACCTTCCAATCCCATCGTGCATGTCCTACTTTGAATATTTATAATTTCTGATTGGTGAATGTATACCTGGGAATACACCTAATTATTTTTTGCCTTTGTACAAATCTATATGAAAGAAAATGTAATCAAGCTGAGTAGTTTGTGCGGCTAGTTAGCTTATAACAATCGAAACAAATATAGACGCCAATACTTGAGTTATGGATGAGTGGTCGGTTTGAAAACACACATTTTGTAAACATTTGTTATGTGAATATATAGGGATAAGGATTGACAAACCATAAAACTGTAAAATTTAAAACGCTTGCTTGCTCTGCGTGGATAGTGAACTTTATAAATGAATTCACTGGACAGTCCAGCCGGTGAAATATTGTTCCCTGTCATGCAAATGATGGATTTAACACGAGTTTGAGCTAGTTCATTCTGCCACTGTACGCCCGTCGGATATAACAATTTTACCAATACAGTCAAAAATCTCCTCCGTTTTTATTTGAATTGAGAGATCACATTCAAATTGGATTATTTCCACTTCTATTTGTATTCAATTATCCTATTTCTATTCCATGCTAAATGGGAAATAAAGAGATGTAATAATGATAACTGAATATGATCATGGGCAGCTGGATGCCCATTATATAATGTTGAGTTAACCCAAGGATGAAGAGTTAATCAATTTGAAAATATAATATTTTACATATTGTACATTTTGAATGCATGTTGATATTAAACCATGGTTTCCGTGATGACCTTTCAATCGCGATTCGCGATCACCGTACTGTGTCAACTTGAAGTGTGTATTTTCCCCAGATACGAAGGCAAATGCAGGGTGTCCTTGCGGCAAACGTTCGTTCCAGTTTCTGCGATCTGCTGCCGATGTCACCTGTCGTATGACAAACGACAAATGTGACTTAGGTTTAACATAGGATATTTTACAACTTAATGTGATTGTTTATAAATAGATTATCCTACACTTAGTGTACTAAATGTATAATAACATTAAAAAATAAATTTGATATTTATTGGCAAAATGAATATCCGGAGGATATCGTAACGATATAGTCCGGGCGGAGGATATCGTGACGATATACTCCGGAAAACCCAACATGCGGAGGATATTGTGACGATATACTCCGCTTGTTGATTTCCCGCCAAATTGACTCTATTTTGGCATGGAATTCATTTTGCAATGATATTATACATTTAGTACACTCCTTGTAAGTGTAGGATAATAAGAACATCCTATGATTTTTTTCAGAATATCATTTTAATCTACTCGGTGATATTGATATATGCACTCGTTCGCTTCGCTCTCTCGTGCAGATATCAATATCACCTCGTAGATAAAAATGATATTCCTCAAAATCATAGGATATCCTATAATTATTCGTAATTTACTAACGTGTCTCAAACATCTACCAGCGTCGTTTTGACTCCAGTTGCAAAAACAATATGTGGTGAATAAGTGATTAAGTTTTATTTTGACATGATACGCTATGAATATGACGGTAATAATGAAATAATAACAATGCATTACGTTAGGATAGATCGGGGGATAGATTTTTGTGGAAATCGTTCCATGATGTTAGAGATATTGAACTGGAGGATATTGCCACGATATACTCCAGAAACCCAATATGCGGAGGATAGTGTGACGATATACTCCGCTTGTTGATTTCCCGCCAAATTGATTCTATTTGGCATGGAATTCATTTTGCAATGGTATTATACATTTTGTACACTCCTTGTGAAGGATAATAAGAACATCCTATGATTTTTTCAGAATATCATTTTAATCTACTCGGTGATATATGCACTCATTCTCTTTGCTCTCTCGTGCAGATACCAATATCACCTCGTAGATAAAAATGATATTCCTCAAAATCATAGGATATCCTATAAATACCCCATGGTTGTGGAAAAATATAATTCATATCAATAACTAGATATAATGGACAGTTTTCAAAACCAAAACACTTTTGAAACCATCGAGTGAACCATCTCTAACTTTTTATGGATGGCATTCGCCTTCGGCTGTCGGTGATTATCGGCGTTCGGCGGTCATGGTGTGTAACAAATGGTAGGTTGTAGCTGACATTTTGCATGTCAATGAATTGGTCATTTTAGATTACTTTGCAAAGGTATAAAGTTTTAGAAATCGCCGCTGCCAAGCGATTTTGGAAAGTCGATTTGATCACTATCCCGGAGACAGTAATAAGAGAAACGTAATTGTAGGTTAGAGATGTTGATTTTGTGGTTAGGAAATATATAAATGTCCAAAATGATTTGTCAGACCAACCCTGGTCATTGATACTAAATGCGATACTCGGTATAGGATTATTAGGCGATCAGACGAATAATATTTTTGTAAATGGTGGGTAAATATGGATATTTCAGCCCAATGTAAATGTGGTCAGTTCTTGTGCTGTACCAATCTGTATTGTTACTGAGATTGTCCCCGTTGATCATCTCCGTCGCAATACAGAAAATATTGGTGCGAAGGGACAATCTCAGTAGCAATACAGAGGATCACACGATAAAAACGTTATTGAATGATTTGAAGTGGCAAATCCAGATACGGCCACATATGCCGTCTTCCAATTGCAAAGACAATGGATCCTTAATTTAAAAAGGACGAAGACAATGACAAATGATAATCCCTAATCCGTTGTCAAGTTACAATTTCAATCGGTAATCAAAGTGAGTAATTTTCTCTCGCAGTTTGAACATATATTACCTTTACCTTAGTAGCGAGATACTTAAATGATTGTTGAACGTATTTGACATAGAACGTATTTGACATACTTGTTAAACATGCAAATCACGAACAAAGAACGTTGTTTTATTGCAAAATAAAGAAACATGTATTTAAAATACAAAATAACATTAAGATAAAACAGTCTTATACAAAAAGCGATATAATGCAAAAAAACAATATCGTAAAATGGTACAACATAACGCAATCCTGTGCATTTTACTTGAACAATCAGTAGTACTACATTGCGATACATACCCCCGGGTACATACCTTACATAATTGCGATAATATGCGCTAAAATTAATGCAAACAAATGCCTATCACTAATGACTAGCCCTCAAAGGTTTGGTATGTATTTTCGTTGCATGATTTATATGTTATCGTTACTGATGAAAGATTTTATTTTGTGCTTTTCTAATAAGTGATGCACAATTATCTTCCAAACTAATAGAGGGAATTGTATTTTAACGTAATGCGATGCAAAATTAAAAAACAAAAATCAATATTATTGTACACTCTAGTCAATATGACACAATACATTACAGTTTGGTGAAACGGCACTTCTGCATTTTCGTCATATTTTTGCTCGTATTTTGCACATTTGTACACCATTCAATTTGCTACCAGTCTAGCAGTGTACCGTATTTCATGACCATTAGAATAATAATCATAATTATGTTACAGCACTATGTCGCCCAACCTTTTCAACGACCCGACTTCATTCATCAGCACGCGTGGCCTGATGATATGATCTCCGTTCTGAGGTTATCAATTGTCCTGAGTTCAAGCTTGTATACTCTATTTTTTGTTTAAAGTGCTGTAACATTATGACTATTAGTTTGATGGTCGTGAAATATAATAGGCCGGTAGGAATTTGAATGGTGTACACAAAATATGAGTGAGCAACTTGCTAAGGTGTGAGGAAAACAGTGTCGGGGTTACCGTTTACAACCACCTTTTATAAAACGATGGTACACTCCCCTCCATAAGTTTGGCAACCTTTGCTCCCCCATTGAACAACGTGTTAAAGCCTCTTTACCTTTTTATTTACTTAATCTGCGAAGAAAATACATATTATCGATGGAAAAGTAATTTGAGCTTATTTCCGATTCCTCCAAATTTTCTTAATTTTTTCCTCAATTATAATAGGTCGAAAATTAATGATTTTGATGACTTTTTGAAGATCGACATGTCGCAAGTCATACGAGAAAAAAACAGTCATCCGAGTCCTTGCAAAAATATACAAGTTAGGTAGGCAACTGAATTTGCAACTTATTTTACAAAAACTGGTACGTTTCTTCAGGTTCAACAAAGTTATAGGTGTTTAAAGTCAAAATTGTTTTTTCAAAACATCTCCTATTGAAATAACACAAGAGGCGAAAAATGATTTTCAAAAATGACTTTGACGCTCTGCAACTTTTGTATTCATCAAGTAAAACCAAGACTTAGTGAATGAAAATATTAGAGAATTCTATTTTCTATGTAAAAATATTTTAATCTTTTACTTAATTGATATCTGATTTGCCCCGAACCCACAATTTTCCATTGGTTTACATGGGAATGACGATTTTCAAAAATTCATCTTTATCACCAATTTTCGACCTATTGTAATTGAAGGAAAAACTTTTGGAGATTTGGAGATATTGGAAATAAAGTCATATTACGTTTTCATCAATAGTAATAAGTATTTTCATCGCAAGTTAAGTAAAGATGCTTTAACACGTAGTTCAATGGGGGAGCTAAGGATGCTAAGTTTATGGAGAATAGTGCATCTCGTTCAGTTACAATAATTTAAAAACAAATGATAATAACATGTTGTTGTACAGTAACACATAGGCTAAATAAAAGGCAACCCGAGAGAATATAAAAAAGTACCCAATAACAAATTCATTACATCTAATATATTGCAGTGCAAAATACTAGGCTATTTAACGCAATATAAAAGAAATTCAACCAAATACTAAAATAGCGTAAAACGGTACAATGTATCAACGTGAAATACTTCAAAGTACATGTATTTTGAATGTACGTCAATAAGAAAGATCGGCATGAAATGCTAAAAGTATCTCGTAATTCAAAACAATAAAAAAGCAAAGACAATAGGCTTGAACAACAACTGTATATAAAACGTTACAATATATTGTATGATCTTGTAAAATATGTATGATAACATGTGAATATAATATTTCCTGATACCATTTTTAATTGACTCACTGATATCAATATCTGTACTCATTTTTTACGCTCGCTCGATCGTCAACTCGTATATATTTCCTTATTGCATAATAACACGTTCTCCCTGGGAAATAGGCAGAGAATAGAATTTATATTCAAAGAATCCCGTAAAAGATCCCATTCATCCAAAGTTCCGTAACAAACCATATTCGATCCCGTATCAGCCGTATCAAGTTGAAAATGTAATTTGATTTCATATTTTTTTCACATTCTCAAACTAGACTATCTTCCTTAACTTCGAGCCAAATTATTATCCGCAACGTGACTTATAAGTAGGTGTAAATCGGGAAATAAAAAATCTTACCGAAACCTAGTCCCAGAAGTAGTCCCACTATGATACACTGACGATACGTCTGTGTAACTAGGTGGGTAGCAGTGATCTTACTATAGTACACTAAATATGCTATTTCTCTCCATGCCAAAGAGTATGTATCAAATAAAGCGTGTACTTTCACCAAATATTTGTTTTATACGTAACTAATTATTCATATTATAATCGTTTTTTAGTTGAGTCGATTGCTGAGTAAGTACGTTAGTAGGTAGCTGATTACGTAACTGACTTAACCCATAAAGTAATATTTGGTTATCATCATATTGGTTTTTCGAAATGCAAAGCACCATAGAATCTTAAACGGAATTCAGATTTCAATTCTGATTTCAGTTTAGGATTTCTGAAAAGATTGTACACCTTTTTCATAACCCACGCGTTAAATTTAGAGAACCCCGTAAAGACCTAGATTTGGACCTCGGCTTTTCAGTGTCCTTACTTTGAATGTCAAAATCAGTAAAAGTAATCAAAAGACGACGTCTTGCCTTTGAAATTAGATACTTTTTACAAGGAATATATTGAAAAAAGAAGGAGACATATTAAGGGACGGCTGAGAAAAGTGGTAAAATAATGTATGTATGACACTAGTACAATAACGTCATTTCAAAGGGCAATATAGTGAAATATTGGACCAAGGGCCCAAGGTCCAATATTTCACTATCTTGCCCGCAGAAATGACGTTATTACTATTATTACCACCGTTAATGCCCAGGGCTGAAATAGCAAATTTGAAATAGAAAATCTTACGCACTGAACGATATCACTTTTTCGGGAAACATAGCCGGGTGGATAATGTCATTATTGCCCGACTAAAGTCATTAACACCCGACACAATATTGCTCACGTTAATATAGCAATTTAAATGCCTTCTCAACTAGTACTAAAACCCATAGAACAGGCCCTGCAAGGTGGTAATAATGTAGATTATAATTCAACCTATTCCATTTCTTACAAAAGATCAAATTGAATTGACCCGTCAATAATTAAATATAAACTACGGCTGTTTAACCTTTTTGTAAACTCTTCAGCTAAGATCCACCATGTGTTTGGTGTTTTATGGACAGTTAGAAAATGAGAAAGGCCTGGATGTAACATGCACCTTATTCTGAAAATTGTCTCCTGAAGGTCTTTCACACGACTACAGATCAAACGTCCCAAGCAGGGATGCGTTTACCGTTAACCATAAGTTTGACATTTTCAATAAGGGCGCAATAAGGTCGTATTTCAAAGCAATACATCACATTTGTGCAATTGGAGGGGTCATTCGTATACGGTCAACTTAACTGTCATTCTAAAAAGCATCATCCATTTGTATTTATTTGTCACTGGCAGGTTTAAGAGCATCCATATAAACATTAATTTAAAATGTCAACTCTGTATTCATTCCCCACCAACATAGGGATTCGTAAGCAACGGGGCACTCTTCAAAAGCAGGGAGCGATTGAAAGATTAAGCTATTTATTAGAAATACTTTTATCTCCATTTTACCAGAACCAAAACAATATTATCAGCACACCATTAGAAGGCTTATCCATTCTTCTTAAATCTTATTTTAAACAAATGTTTGCTGTATGTGTAGCTATTTAAAATCATGAAAGCGTCTGTAATATTATCTATATATTATGTCAGTCAAATGCATATCACTTCCCAAAAGTCTGATTCAAATCTGTTATGAAGGACGGTATACGTTTTTCAATGATGCGCCGAATTATGTTAAGTTGCTATCTATTTCATATCGTCCAAACTGTATGTTGTTAGTATGAGGAAAATATTTCGCCATTTCCTTTAAACGTTCTATACGTTATAGTTCGTTTTTTAGTTTCCAAATGTTTCATTCAACTATGCCATAAAGGAGATTGAAACTCCGTGTAAATGAATATTTCCTTTGTATTTTCTCTGCATGTTTTGCTGATCTTTTAACTGTTTTTCAGTACCTTAACTAAATGAAAATGTATAGCGAAATTAATTAAATACGCGCTGTGTTTTGAACTTTGTAAAGAATTTACATTTGTAAAATTGTGCTTCCCTGCCTTGGAAAGCCACGCCTTCTCTATCATCGCCTTCGGGACGCTATGCAAACGGTATACGTCATTCTCATAAAGTTTAAGGGCGGCAATACTTCAAGTATACGTATAGGACGGGATGCGTCCAAATGAAACACACAATGGAAGTTGTTCATAGCGTACACGTAAATCATTGAATGACGGGCATATCAGTAGTTCTACGATTGTTCACCGTGTTTATACGCCTATTTTTGTAATCATACATGGTCCACTGGCGGATCCAGATCCATCTTGCCCCCCCCCCCACCCATCTTGTGGGCCAAGAAAAACATCATAGGCCCCAAAAAATGTTTTGGTAAAAAATAACATAGGGCCTCATAAAAACCGAGCCTTTTTGGGAATGATTTGACAACCTAGGCCAAATTTTCAAAGAGTGGGGGTTAAATTTTCTTCTGGATCCTCCAGTGTGGTCTAAGTTGTTAATTCGAAAAGGCCAAATAATTGCGATATTGAATGTGCAACTCATCACGGTACACCTCGCCCGACGAGTGACACGTGTTGGTAAAAGCTATCCAATCCTGCACATAGAACTCATGCATAATACAACAAGTTCTGGGATTGAAATTGTATAGTAGTTTAAGCCAATTTACTGACTGAATTACTCAGTTGGAGTAACATTCCCGCGGAAACTTTCCCGGGGACAGATAATAGTTCCCTCTATTGACCAAACTAGGTACTACACTTCACTCCACCTTTTGAAAATAACTAACTCATATATATATATATATATATATATATATATATATATATATATATATATATATATATATATATATATATGTGGACCTTATTTACAAAAGGTGGAGTGGAGTGTAGTACCAAGTCTGGTCAATAGAGGGAACACTAATCTGTCCCCGGGAGGATTTTCCCCGGGAATGTTACTATAGGTGAGTAGTGTAATCAACAAACGGCGCCCTTTTCAATCCCATCATGCATGTCTTACTTCAAATTTATACGTTTTCTGATTGGTGAATTTCTACTTGGGAATGCACCTAATTAGTTTTGGCATGCAGCTCAATTCGATATCAAGGAAATTGTAATCGAGCTAATTTGTGCGTCCCTCGGTTAGCTAACAGCAATCAAGACCATCTGTACACCCCAGCAATATTTTGGTTGATGGATAAATGAGAAATACCTTTTTATATGTGAAGTGACTATAGGATTGATAAACCTGGTAACATGAAACTGCATCATATTCCATTGTCTTTGTAACCAGACATATAAAACAGTTTTATATGTCTTGACCTCCTTGGTTGTAACATGAGGAATGTATGTAATATTTGTAAAGTGAAAATTAAAATACAATCATTCAATTTGTCACTCGTGGTAATTTAGAAGATTTCAATGTAATATGATTGGTCTCAAACCCAGGGGCTCCAAGGGGGAAAAATGAAACATTTATTCAAAGTTGATGAGGTCCCCGATGAGTTCTCGCAAAAACAATGTAATATTTGACATTTATCCTTTAGAAATAACGTAGTGTCACTACTTGGTGTTACTATAGCTGTACCATCGATTCTGTGAATAAGGTACGAATGAAATTGTGGTCCAATGCATTATTTTAAGGGATTGAGTACCTCTGAGCAATGTTACACTCCCAGGGTTGCAATCGCATTCAATTTTCAACATTTGCAAAAGCAAAAAGGGAACGCCGCATATGATATATCTCATGCGTCGGACAAAAATATCGTCTGGTTCCAGTGAAAATGACCCACTGACGTATAATCTACGGGGCGGTCCAGATAAAATCAAGAGGGGCAAACCGATGAAAAAAATTATTGGCCTCTGTACTAGATCCGATCATTGGGTTATTAGCCGAACGGACAATATCAAATGAACGGGTATTTTGAAAAAAGTACAGGCGAATGGACACCTTTTGTATAATTTATTTTAACATTTGTTTTTAAAAGGATACAATATTTTTCAATATCATACATCCCTCTATAGGTTTGACAGCCTTAACTCCCCAACGTTTTTTTTATTTTCTGCACCTCCGAACTGTCCCAATATTCTCGAAGAAGATATCAATTTTGTGTTCCATAAAGTTAAATTCAATTTTCTCTTTATTAACTTATATTTTTGTTAGAACTTCGGATGGATGCATATTCTGTAGGTTACATGATTTGTGGCAATTTCCCACTTATTGTAAATGGCGAAAACTTAGAAAAGTGAGGAATTGGACATCTGCAGCCCTACATATATTTTTTTTCTCTTCACAATTCAAACATGAAAGGCTTTAACACGTAGTCCAATAGAAGGAGCTAAAGGTTGCTAATTTTACTGAAATTAAACGCTCGTATTTATTGTTTCACAACTATTTGTAGTTACTTTGACGTAATGTTACGAAATAGAGGAGGTTGGCTATTCTCATTCTGTAAGATGTTTTCTATTTTTAAACACATGTCATGAATGTCATACGTTAAGTTGCATATTATAAATAATTATGTACCAAGGAACACAATCTAGTCGGAATTTAAAAATGCCTCTGGTTTGTAATTTTTGGTTTAAATGAAGCTGTAATTTATTCATTTAGTCCCTCGCTTTTTAACCTTGGCGGATAACACAGGCAGCCAGGATTAGATCAAATGACAAAACGAAATGATCGTGCGTAATCAGATTTCGACGCATGTCTTTCATGGGAGTAGTTGTGAGTGTTCGGCAGTGTTCGTCATGTGTGGTAAAAACTCCCTTTAAAATGGAGGATAACGTTTTCTGCATCGGGTCCGTCACAAAGCTCGAACATTTTCAACGATGTGTTATTCGAGAATACAATGTACCATCAGAGTTTGGGAATTGTCGATAGAAATTTGTGTTTACAGAGAAACACCTCTCCTCCAAGACGCAATTTCGCAAGAAAATATTTTTAAAATGCAAGAAAAAGTTAAAAAACATTAAAAATAGTTTTCATAGCATACCGTTAATCGAGTGATTGAGTGATCATAACTAATATATTTAAGAAAATCAACATATTAACGAACAAAGAGTTCAGACGACCTTACTTGTTAAAGTAGACAGAACTTCAAAAAACCGTTATAATCTGTACTTCTAAAACGTTCCGTGGGAGGAGTATGTATTGGTCCACGATTGTGTTTGTGGTTGCCCGGTTGTGGTTGTCTCTATTTAGAGAAGCTTATAGTTGGATATACTGACACGTCGCAAAAAGCTGGCACACTTGTGTTTTTAGGGTATCGCATGAATGTAACTTTAATTCTTCGGAATATAAGATAATATTCTAATCAAAATTATATATCATTTTAAAGCTGCTTTAATGAAGTTTTCAAATGAAGTACACATCTTTCACAATTCTTGCGCGTTCTTTTTTTTTTTAAAGAGTTTTTTTACCCGAAAATCTTCCAAATATCCGCTGTCGACACGTTACATTTTGAATACTTTTTCGTTTTTAAACGCGCATAACTCAAACAATATTTGACTATTATACTTTATTTTCATCTTGATAAAGGTAGATGGAAGTGTTATTTCAAAGGATGAATTCTACTTAGCGTCCCATATTGTGACGTCATATAGTTTGAAAAATAGAATCTGTTGACAGCGACCTTCTTTGCTCATTATTTGTTACCTTCAACTTTTCAAGTGTACATTAAACAAAAAATACGAGACCACTTTGTTATATATCATACATGATTATTTTGCTCAAAAACTCTAGTTTATTGATAAATAGCTGATTGTGTTCGCAAACGTATGTGTTTTCTGTTGTATGTGGAAAAGTGGAGGACGAAAGGTTTTCAAAATTCATTAAAATAGGGCGAATTTACGCCATTCACCTATTTTCAAACACAGCAACACATATATTTATTTCACCTAAAATAACAAATTGATTTGTGTTTAATGATGCTCCTAACCCATTGTTAATACATATACGATATGAAAGTTATTCGCCTTAAATATTTTGAGATATAGAGGCAAATGTGGAGGACGAAAGGATTTCCATATGTGTACATTTTTCTCAAAAAGCGTCACATTCTGTGGTGTTGAAAAGCAAAAAATGTGTAACAATACGCGCGCGAACTTTTTGCGACGTGTCTGTACATTTTTCTCAAAAAACGTCACATTCTGTGGTGTTGAGAAGCGAAATGTGTAACAATACGTGCACGAACTTTTTGCGACGTGTCACAGATATCACCGTTTCATAGGGTGTGCCTGATTGTGTTTTGATTTAATTGATTAAATTTGATTTAATCGAGTATAATTAATTGAGTATTTGGTTAAGCCTGGTTGTGTTATGGTAGGGTTTTTGTCAGGTAGTGCCAAAATGAATTAGTTAAATGATAGGTAGAGTTGAGTTTAATCTTGTTGACTGTGTTGGGTTGGTTTATTATTGGGTTGTGCTCGATTGTGTTGTAGTAGTTTGACTAATTTTATTATAAAGAGACAGGATACATGTCACAATATATATGATTGCCGATGACTATAGTTATATACACCCCCAAAATGCAATCTGATTTTCGACGCCGTTTCGGTGCCAAATTTCGGTGCCGTTTCGGCACCAAATGGACTGACTAGTCCGGTGGCAAATGTTGGTGTCAAAAGGTTTCGGTGACGAAACGGTGTCGAAACGGTGCCGGAACAGCGCCGAATTTTTTCGATGCCGAAACGGCGCCGAATTATATTGGCTGTGTAGGGGTAGGTTACCCGGAGCAAGTGACATTTACCTGCTGATCGTCATTATATTTTATTTCTACGTTGTTTATTTTCTTTCTTGGCACAGCTGTTAATTGATTCATCTAAATTAGAGCAATTTTCTGAGATTTTATGTATTCTATGAAAAATTAATTCTATGAATGTCTAATATATTGTTATGATGACAACATATGTTTATTGTTGACAAGATTACGAGTCATTATACACGAGTGGCAAAACATCTTTTTGCCAGGGTAGCCATATTCCAAAGGTATCAAAATGGATAAAAAATCTTCAATAGCAAAAAAACTGAATCAAACAGAGAACATTGATACAAGTCTGTGTTAAGAATAACCTATGAGTACATTATACAATTAGGTTCTTGAGAAATGCCTATGGGGACTCTATTATGTCTGAGCAAAGAGTGTATACTTGCTAGCACGAGAAGTTCAAGGGTGGTCGAGTCAAACCAGAGAATTATCCAAGTGGCCGACCAGTGGCAGACAGATCAGATCATGTTCCATCATGAGTGGGATGGGATGCATAGAGAATGTGTCCGTAAAGATGCTGCTTATTTTGAACATGAGCAGTGACTTGGCGTTCAATAGCATTTTTGAATGAAGTTTGGCAGGAGAAGGAGTCGCTTAGATTGACTGAATATTATTCGATGGAACCCTGATATTGTCTATTTGTTTTAAGACAATGGCCGTGGTCCGCCTACCCAATACAAGCTAGGGTTACCATGACAACTGCAAATGCATTATAATGAATTTGCAGCGATTGTCAGTGTACAATGAATGAATGGGAGAATCATTGTCACTACTTATTGATCACCCTGTATTGCATAGATGATATATTTGTTTGTGTCACTTCCTATGATCAAATGTGTTACTTTGCTTCTCTCCTCAGTTTTCATGAGGTGGGGGGGTGGTTGTTTGTGAAAGTGTATGGCTTACGAATTCCTATATGGATTTTTATGTCTACTAGTTTTATACGAAACTATTTACTGGCATTATTTCGTATTAGCCATTATGTATGCTCGAGATTAGATTCTACATAAGAGTGAAATAAAATAGGTATGATGGATTCTACTTAATCTTGATATAAAGTGAATCACTGTTTAGATTGTACGTGCTCCTTTGGAACTAATACATTGATTAAAAAAATACATTAATAAATATACTTATAAGGGCATATTTTAAAATATAATGAGATCAAAAGGGATATGGATGATACCCAATGTTATTTCTATGGTGTATATTATATGTTAAGTCAATACACACGTGGTGCAATCTTAATATTCTCAGAAGAAAATTCTACCTGTAACAAATTTGTTTTGTAGCATAATGGAGTCACTGCATTTATGGTCTATCTGAGATAAGACTCATAAAATTAAATATTCTACAAAGAATACTTTTACACTGAATTAGTTATTGTAAACCTAGAAATCGTTCATTTTGAAAGTGATTTAATAAAATTGATAAATGACCCTCTTTGGAATGAAAAGGTTAATGTCTATTTTTGTAGTACAAAAAATTCGAATGGAGGTGGGATTTTAAAAGCTTAGACTATCGACGTATTGGAACCTGAGAGCAGACGAGGCCATTTATTTGACACTAGTAAGAGCCACAGATTGAGATGCGTTTAAAATTACGTACTTCAAAAAACGTACTGCGAAACAAAATTATCGAAATACCGTACTCGTAAACGTAATGAAATACGAATACGGGTACGTTTTAGCACCCAAGAGGAGAACCCCAAGAGCTTAGACGATACCAGACATAATTGCGTCTTTCGCTTGCCACCTTCGTATGACATTGTTTAAATTCTCCAGAAATGAACATAATATTATTCGAATCATATAAACATTCTGAGGCCGCCATTTTTGTGGATTTTGACCATCAGAAACAAATTTACATGATAAGCGTATGTCATCTCTGAACTCTGGGATTATCCCCGGGGGTTTCACTCCAATATCCCCCTCTTTAGCTAACCAGTTGTGCGAAACCTCTCCATTATATCTATGATTCTCGTTCATATGCCGGGACTCCTTAAGAGTCGGTGGCGATTTAAATATCGCGGCTATTACCAGGTTACTCAGAAGAACTAAGAAAGACTATTTTTATGAACGCATGTCCTTTAAATGACATAGATTTCGAAGCTATTTAGAAACTCCCCTAACCCCTAGGCTGTGTTAATGGATTCATTCTGATTCGGCGGCGTTTTAAATAACGCGGTTATTACCAGGTTACTTAGATGTAGAACTAAGAACGATCAGTTTTGATGAACGCAGATATTTGCTATATTGGAACTTTTAATAAATCTTGGCAGGTTATTATTTAATGTCACTTTTTGTAATGAACAAAATGCTTGCTGAATGCGTAGCTATTTAAAATCATGAAAGCGTCCTAAGTATCCATATATCGCATATATCACTTCCCAAACGACTGATTCAAATCTGGTATGAACAAGATTAAAGAGGACGGTACGTTTTCCAATATGATGCGCTGTAAGTTGCTGTATATATTTCATATCGTCCAAACTGTATGTTCTTAGTCTGAGGAAAACATTTCGTCATTGTCTTTTAGAGTTCCATATACGTTACACTTAGTTTTTTTAGTTTCTAAATGTATCATTCAACTATGCCATAAAGGAGATTGAAGATCCGTGTAAATGTATATTTCCTAAATGTATTTTCATTGCATTTTTTACTGATCTTTCACCTTGGATCTTTTAACTGTTTTTGAATATTTTTAACTTAATGAAAATATATACGGTAACAAAATTAATTAAATACGCGCTGTGTTTTGAACCTTTTTTGTAAAATTGTCCTTCCCTGCCGTGGGAAGCCACGCCTTCTCCATCTCCACCTCCGGGACGCTAAACAAACTGTATACGTCATTCTCATAAAGTTTAATTGATTTATCTTTCTAGAGTATTGGATTCCGTATTATTTGATTTCGGTGTAATAATGGGTTTTCGAGTATTGGGGTTCGAACAAGGGCAGCAATACTTCATATTATATTATGTTGAGGACGGGGGTTCTTCCAGATGAAACACACAATGGAAGAGCATACTGCCGTATTCTGCATTAACCCTATTATATGTGCTTGAACTCTGCTCCAAGTCAAATAAACGAATGCGTTCATAGCGTACTAATTGTACTTATAAACTGTATACGTAAATCATGAAATTAACGGGCATATCAGGAGTTCTACGATTGTTCACCGTATTTAGCTATACGCCTATTTTTGTTATCATCCCACTGGCGGATCCAGATCCATCTTGCGCCCCCCCCCCCCGCCCCCTTTTTTGTAGGAGCCCAAAAATCGTTTTGCTCGAAAGTTAAGTATGGCCTCAAAAATGATTCTATTTGGGCATGATTTGGCATTTTAGGCCAAATTTTCCAAAAATGGGGTTTAAATTTTCATCTGGATCCGCCAGTGTTGTCAAAGTTGTTAAATTCAAAAAGGCCAAATAATTGCGATATTGAATGTGCAACTTATCACAGTACACCTCTCCCGACGAGTGACACGTGTTGTTAAAAACTATCCAATCCTACACATAGAACGCATGCATAATGCAAAAAAATGCTGGGATCGAAATTGTATCGTAGTGTAAGCCAATTTACTGACTGAATTACTCAGTTGGAGTAACAATTCCCGGGGAAACTTTCCCGGGAACAGATAACTATTCCCTCTATTGACTAAACTAGGTACTATAGTTCACTCCACCTTTTGAAAATAACTAACTCATATATATATATATATATATATATATATATATTCATATATATATATAATATATATGATATATGAATAAAATGAAAAAATTGTGTTTTATGATGAAAATTATAATTATTATTTCTTTATTTTAGGAGTGTAGTTATGAGCCTGCCCCCCTTCCCCTGCCCAATGTACTTGCAGACAGTACAGAGCTCACATTACTCACAGTTTACCTGGCTAGTAATGGCCATATGACCACCCATAGGGGATCTGGGAACAAGCCATTAGACCCAGGTAATAGAGAATCACATCATATGAAATGAAACTTCATCAATTTACATAAATAAATGTTTTCATGGTTAATAATATAGTTTAGGTGGAGTGACTTTATAACACCAGCCCTTAGCATAGGATTTGATCCTTTGTTTCATATTAACTATGTCTTATAATGTTTTAATAATTAAATATTCTATTTGTAGCCTTGGGGATGTCTGCCAGTTACCAGTCACTGATTACATGGCTACTGACTCTAGTACCAGACAACTTTGATACATTCTCCACTGGCACTGGAGACATAGTACTCTCCTGCCCTGCACCTTTCCATGTGTTAGGTGAGTATATTTTGTTCATTATGCATATACTCTAGTACCAGACAACTTTGATACATTTTCTACTGGTACTGGAGACACGGTACTCTCCTGCCCTGCACCTTTCCATGTGTTAGGTGAGTAGATCATGTTCATTATACATATACTCTAGTACCAGACAACTTGATACATTTTCTACTGGTACTGGAGACACGGTACTCTCCTGCCCTGCACCTTTCCATGTGTTAGGTGAGTAGATCATGTTCATTATACATATACTCTAGTACCAGACAACTTTGATACATTTTCTACTGGTACTGGAGACACGGTACTCTCCTGCCCTGCACCTTTCCATGTGTTAGGTGAGTAGATCATGTTCATTATACATATACTCTAGTACCAGACAACTTTGATGCATTCTCTACTGGTACTGGAGAGCTCTCTCCTGCCCTTTACCTTTCCATGTGTTATATTTAAAATTCAATGTTCTTGGTCTTCATATTTCAGGCCTACAACAAGTGTGTTTAGAAGATCAGCTTTGTTTACAAGTTGCCGTGGCACCTAATCAACAATACATGGCGTTGACACAAAAACAAAAGAAATTGAAGGTTTGTGGTTTGCAGAAATGTTTTTAATATGTTGTTATCTATAAAAATCTGATTATGTAAGGTTTATGTTATCTTACTTTTTACATTACTGCATTGATTTGCATTATTCTGTTTGCAGGGTGGGGGAAAAGGTGGCCAATTCCAGCAGTTGCTTAGCAAGTTCCTATCTGGTTCAACCCTGCAATCTACCTGCCCCTGGCTAGCAGCCCTTGTCTCAACCAACCTGACCCCTGCAGGTTCCTCCCCCTCCCACAGCTTCACTTACAGACCCCCACTGCCCAATATAACCACCAAGCCGCTATCAACATTCATACAAATCAACCCAGACTCTACAGCCGTCCGCAAAACATTTGGAGCAAATGTTGGATTTTTCTGGCAGACTATTGAAAATGAGGAGGCATTTTTTGATAATAATATGGAGCTTGATTCAGTGGGATATGAGACACAAAACACTATGAGTTTGATATATAAGAAGGTATATAAAGACCCCACAGCTACAATGGGTATACTCAACCGTGCACTTCAGGAAGGTTTAGATCTGGCTGGTGTACGACTTCTATACCCGACACAGTCTGTTTTGAATGCAGCCAATCCATCCAACCAATCACCTACAAGTAATGACAATCAATCAGATTTAGATACACTGAATAAAATCGGCCCTATTCTGGCGATAGCATTACGTGGGACATTTGCACGGTCTCTATGGCTGGATGCTTTAGGTCCATCAGATCCTCAGTTGGCACGAAGAACTGACCCAAATTCCCTATGTGCATTATATGGTGGTAAACACAGGGATGAGTGTTTAATATTCAGTCCTAGGAATCCTAGTAGGGTTCAGTCAGAGCTCTGCCGATGGTTTGGAGGACGGGTCCCAGCTAATGGGGTCATAGATGTTGGAACTACAACATCATCGAAACAACGTCATCGAAGTGGTAGCCCCAGTTCTAAAGGCTTAATTAAAAAACAGCTAGAACTCCCAGAACCAGAAGTAAAAATAAGCATCAATCGTCCACCAGCCACGTTGACTGCTACGACAAGTGGTGATGTTTTTGTTGCTATATCCCCCCTTGTGCCAGTCAAATGTCTGGGGGTGATACTAGCCACGTGTCAGCGTAGGGGATACCAGCTGAGGGGGGTCAGAAGACTCAAATTGTCCTCAAAGAGAGCCAATAGTTTAGGTATGTTATTATAGTTATCATAATATTATTGACTATATTCTGAAGCACTACTAAATACTGTTGATTTTTGGTTTTACTATTGTCTTTATTATAGATTATATTAAATTACAAAATGTTTTGCAAAACAAGAAATTGTTATATGTCCACATATGTATTTTTGATTTTGATTTTTAATTAGGTATTCCAAATGTTTATACACATGTATATTGCCCTGGAAGTGACTCCAAACCTACATCACCTCGATCACCAGATGCCCTAAGCCCACCAGATGCTCTCCATTCAAGACACAGATGCCCTACTACATTACTTTTACTTCATAAGGAGAATGCAATGCATAATTGTGGAGGGCTTCTGGAAAACTTCATGCTGCAAATGTCTTTGCAGGCCATTCTAGGTATTCATTTTGCATAATTCTTGTGTTTTGAAAAATACATGTTTTATGATTATAACACTTATATGAACACCTCTTGGTGTGAACACTTTCTTGGTCCCCATCAAAATATGAAAACCTACCAATCCGATTGCTTTTAGCCAGATAGAGGAGCATTGTTTACTGCAGTTTTGAATCTGTAAAAATTCATTTGTGTTCATCTGTAGTATCATTTTTGATTATGTTTTTCAATTACACTTATTTTGCTTTATATCGCATCTTTTATAAAGAAAACATTGAAATTAAACATTGTTAATTAAATATGTGTTACAGGTGAAATCCAGCAGTCCACTGATCAACCCCTATGCACGGGGCTTCTATTCCATGCTACCCCATACAGTGACTCACAGTTACATGCTCTAGGTGGAGACTTCAGCAAGGTACAAAAATCACATTTCATCTGTAAATTAGTCATCAAGGAGGATTGGCTCCCAGCATTCCCTTGTGATCTTTTTTTGATCTTTTGGATCAGTTTGGTCTAGTGATCTGTTTTGATCTTTTGGATCAGTTTGGTAATATGACTTCTACTATGTTTAGTAACAGCTAGTATTAACAAGTAATTGTATTTATTGTTTTAGGTGCCGGAACATGACCAGATCCGTAGTCCTGGATACATTGCCCCAAAACTTCATACTAACCCAGAGATGGAACAGACGGTGTGTCTAACCCTGACTGGTCATCTGCTCATGAAAACATTTGGTCTATATTTAGGTGAGTCTTAACTATTACTCTTTTAAACATGTAATTAAGAAAGACACATGCACGCATGCACATCCATCTGCACAACAACAATGTCAAATTTTCAGTGTGATAAAAATGAAATATACATAATAGTGTTTTGAGGATTGGATATAAATAGGGCCTTGAGCTAAGGGCCGGTCCAAAGATCATTTTGATTCGGACCTGTTGATTTTTTCAGCATGTATAGGAAAATAACATTGCAACTGGTCCGTAATGCCATTTTGACCAGTCGCTCTCATAACCTTAGCTCTACCCCTTGATATAAACAATTAAACATCATTCTTTGAGAACAAAAGTGTGATATTGCTACATAGGGTACTATAGAAATCATTTTCTTACCCCTTTCTTCTATAATTTCCAGGAAAACTGCTGAACCTTGTTCCATGTTCTAAGGCACCCTACCCCATGCCATTCTCCGAAGGTTTTGAGCTACTGGCTATAAAATGGCTACCTGGTCTCAGCTCAACACAGGCTAAGGAACTCACACCATATGAAGTAGGAAATAAACAGTGGAAACCCAGTATACATCAACTTACATCAGGTCAGTTCATGAATTATGATTATTCTTATTTGAAAATGAATTATCAGAGTGACATGAACCTTTTCATAAAAGATATTGAAAACCACTGCTCATGTAATTTGGTGCTGTTTCAAAACCTAAGTAAATTGTTGCTGTTACAACAACATTCTGGCACAGTTCCTGAAACACATGATTAGTGTCCGAAATGACACTATTTTTCAATGGCCTAAATATCAAATGTTTAATTTGCATTTTCAAAAGTTTAACTTGCATTTTCATATGTCTCACTTGCATTTTCAGAGCCTGCAGTAATACTTGCTGTTCGAGGCATAAATGCCTTCCAGCGTTTGGAGAACTACATTCTCTCTAAGCCTGGAGGCTTGAAGGGCCAGTCCCTCGACAAGTTAATGTCTGTCACCCCAGAACTTGCATACAGACAGATAACAATGTTCTTCCAAAGTTGGGAACTCTTTTCTGACCCCCAGGCTCGCAGTTTGTTACCCTATTTACCCCCTCCAAGATATGCTTTAACTATCGAAGACAGGTATGTATAAATGAGGGCTGAAGATTTTAAAGACCTTAGTGTGTTACATGCTTTGTTATCTTTTTATTTTTGAAACAGTTTAACTAGTCACGTAAACTTTTCTGCAAAGGATATGTCCCCTCATATTAATGGTGCATATCTAAGCAAATATCAATCCTCATTCATGTTTTAAAATGCAAAATCAAGTCAAAATGAGAAAAATTCTAGAATTAGAAATTTCCAAAAATGAACTCAACTACATATCTGATAGATGCACTGTATAGTTACAAATGAACATTTTAGAATTTAAAATGCCTGTATGTACAAACAAATTTTCTTTTTACAGCTTAAGCCCCCGTGCCAGAAAGACTCGTTCAAAAACATCAGTGAAAGACACCTCACATGCGAACTTAGAAGACAACATCTTGGATAGTCTAGTATATGGCCCAAGACCTCTGACAACCACACTGGTGATTAAGCCAGTTGCAGTTCATAAACATCTGGCCAAGATTCTCAGAAGACTCACCTTGGAGGGTTTCACTCTTGCTGCTGTGAGACTCACAATGTTGGATACACAACAAGCATCACATCTAGTCCCTATACAAGATAAACAGGTAGGTTAAAGGAAATTCAAGGTAGTTCTGTTTTTGTAGAATGCGAATGTGATACAGTTTAAACTTTCATCCCTTACGAACAATTTTTCCCTTTCATGGCCCTTTTTTGTTTGTCTGATAGAGTATGAAGGATAGATAAATATTATAATTAGATTCCCATTTAAACCAATTGAAATGCACTTGGGGTCATATTATTACACATTTACATTTAAGATGGAAATTTTGAAACTTGCTATTACTAATCTATGCTTATCTATCACTTTAGATTGAATGTGTTTAAACATTTCTTCAGAATGAAGTTTTAATGAAGATGCATATAGAGCACCTAACGTCTGGTCCATGTATGTTACTATGTGTACAGAGAGAGAATGCAGTGAAGAAACTCTTAGATCTGATTGGTCCAGTGGACCCCCTTGTTGCCCGTAGAACCAACTCCTTACTTTGGCGAGGCCTATTTGGCACAGATACAGTCTCCAATGCATTATATGGTAAGCGAATTTACTAATTTATGTTATTTGCACACAGTTGATTTATATGTTGTGAGTTGAAAACTCAAGCAGTTACATTGATCCTGTGCCCTTACCAGCATGCATGTCATTTTCAATCATCTGAATATAAATTTGACATTATCTGTTCATTTTTATTTCAAGTTAAATAGATAATACATATATGCAAGGCCTACTGAAACATTATTAGCTCTGTCAAAAACATTTGACATTTGCGATCCTACATGCCCTGTCATATAATGAAGCCACGGCACATGATAATACAAGCCTTGTCCAAAGTCTTGAAAGTTGAGAGCAAACAATTCAAAGCTTTTGGATGTTCCTCATATATTGTGAATTATATAAATCAAAGATTAGCCCTAAATATGATCACTCCTTGTACATTTAATCATTTATGTTTTCCTTCAGCATCAAGCAGCTACATAAGGGCAGTAGAGGATGAGAGACTGTTCTTCCCAGATGGCCTGACTTGCTCACCAACCCCAGAATTAACCGCAGATCAGGTAAACAAAATTGCAAACCTCAATTGCATATCTCATTCTATGGTGCGATTCTGTAACTTTAATCAATTGTATTAATATCTTTTACTAACCCAAATGTAACATCTTCATAAACATTTTCAAATTGCTTTTTAAAAAGTATCAACCTTTTGGATTCATAGCAAATATGCATTCAGTTTTTGAAAAAGCTGATCTTTATATCTGATTCTTCATTCACAATGTTGCTGTTTGTAGATCCATTGCAGTGTTGAGGATGTCGTGACAGGTAGCAGTCCATCACGTGGAGTTGCAACACACACAGGTTGGTTCATTGTTTTTAGGGGTGAGACGAGTCGAAAAAATCCGATTCGAGTCAGAAAATGACGATTCGAGTTTCGAATCCGTTTCGAGTCAGATAAAGTGCGAACAACATCGCTTTTGACCGTTCGTATTTTTAATGCGTCAATGGTGGAAAGCCGTAAATATAAACAAACACAATTCGTCGTAAGTTTATTCTGATTTTATTACATATATTCTTTCATTTATGTGTACATACAATATAATAATTTAATACAAGCATATCCAAGTCATTGAAACTTATATATTCAACGCAATATCGAGTAAAAACATGCATATTGACAGTATTTTTCTGAATTTTTTTATTTTTTCGAATTTTTTTCTCAACTCGAAAATGATTCGATTCATCAACTTCGACTCGATTCGACTCGACTCGAAGCCCCAAACCCGCGAGTCCTCGACTCATCGGGTTGTCGTCTCACCCCTAATTGTTTTGATTGGTTGGTTTTTAATATATCTTTTTATCCAACAATGATACGCATATTAGGGCATGTGTCTTTGTTTTTCCAAATCATGATGCAGCAATGCATCTTAAAGTTTAGTTTGAATAGAAAAATGATGAACAATCTTATGCAAATAGTGTTGCCAGTAAATGCATATATTATACTACCCTAATACTATTCATAAATTGCTTTTTTCCAGATTCAACTGATGTAGTGAGATCATTGATGCAAACGAATTGTGTCCTCTTGGCGCCACCTTTATTTAAGAAAGAGAAGCGAAGCAGGAACTTTGCTCTTGCAGATATTTTAGAGGGGCTTCTCACTCATGGGTAAATTCTTTTAATTCGATTTTTGTAATATAATTCAATTGCATAAATTCTGAAATATCAAAATCTTGACAGAATATGTAATAATATTTTATCATGGATCGATTTTTAACGCCATATGAACTGATATTTAAGATTATGGTAGAATAATTGCATGGATCTATGTGTCAATGAATGAAGTCATTTTGCATCATGACTTCATTTCTGTGAATGTTTTAAAAAAGATGGCATCATCACAATAGATAATCATGTAACCATACAGTATCTTAAGCCATACATGTTACACTGCCTAACAACAACCAATCTGATTGGTCAACAAATTATGTTTGAATTTAAATTGTTTTGACATTGCTTGATTTCAGGTTTGAGGTTGTTGGGTGTCGTATGATTGTCCTATCAGAACCCCAGGCCCAGGAGTACCAGCATCTCATGGGGACAGGGGATTTCAGTCTGACCCCCATACTCACATCTGGGCCCAGTCTTGTCTTAGCTGTCCAACGAGATAATGCAGTAGTTAGCTTTGATAGTCACCTTGGCGCCACCTATCAGAGTGATTCTGTCAATGCAAAGTATGGTCAGCATTTACTTCGACCTAAATCTGTAACACAGGTGAGTTAAGTAATTTTTAGCTTTCTAAATAGTAAGTATATCAAGGATTGGACCCCATTACAATAACCCAAATGCGAGTAGGTAGTCACCAGTTTCACCACCAGGTGGCTAATTTGGGTCATACAAATGAAAGTATGTTCAGTAAAAGAAAATATTATTAGTCAAATAAATGAAAAGATTATTTCTGCTCAAATCTACATAATTTTTAACACATTTTGAAAATTACAATTATTTTCAGAATCACTTGAAAATTAGAATAAATAAATAAATAAAACTCACTAAAATACTTAATAATTAAAAACACAATGAGGTTGATTATAAACAAGCAAACAAAAAAAACAATTTATTGTGCATATCATGCAAAATTAACAAAAATACTTGATTAATATAATTAATAATTTGATAGAATATTAACATTTATAAGGGTGTATATCACATTACTATAGCAGTGTTTTATATTAACTAATACTTTAAATTGGTTTACTCTGCTACTTGTGATTATTGATAAAACCCTCAGATAATATTCCATTGCAATAAAATATTTTTCACTAAACAAAATTATTAAAATACTGGGAAATAATTTAATCAATTACATGCTCCAAATGCAATAATTCATAACGTAGATCCAAGTAAAATATCTAAAATTATTTGATTTTTATCGCAAGGTTTAAATCATAATTATATCAAGCTATTGTTATGAATCCTTTGCAAGGGCTTAGTGCTATTGTTTGTTCCATCCAGTAATGTTAAATAAATAAAAAAGCTATTAAATCTCTTAATGTTATTATTCTTTCCATCTTTTTTGTATTTGGGAAGACAAAGGTAAATGACAATTTTGCATGATTTATCATTAGTAATATTTTAAACATTTTTCTGACACAAATAAGATATATATGGGATGCAAACTCAGGTTTTCTTTTATATAGCAGGCTTTAAAATTTTTCAATACATGTATGATATTTATTTCCTAGTAGTAAGGAGGTTTTGTCTTGTTTAAACCTCCAAATTAATTCTTGCATCAATCCACTGTGCTTGTCCTATCCCCTCTTTTTCTGCTACCTTCTTTGTTACGTATATATTTACTTATATCTGAAGAAGAGAATACGATAAAGCTTTGAAATTTGAAACTCTCTCTGTGTGCTATTTCCCGAAGCTATGTATAATAATTAGACCATACTGTTGCATGCTATATATAATGAGCCTTTTCATAATTGTAATAAGTCTGATCGGCCAAACAGCCTAGCAGGTGCTCCTTGTCGATATCTACTTAATATTACATAAGCTGATAATACCATCTATTATCTCCACTGCCAGAGTAATTCAAATTTATTCCAAGGAAGTCTCGCGTCAATCATAAAACATCGTTGCCATGGTAACATCATCCTGGATGACAGTAAAGCGAGTAAACCACATGCAACTTTGGGATTATCCCCACCATTGACGTGTTAGTTGCTCTTGAATGTAATTGCCTTCAATATCATTGCAGTATTAGATGATGCAAATCATGTACTATGAGGTTTCACCTTATTGCACTCAGATTTATTCTATAATTTACTAACTACATTTTGTGACATTTATTTTTACCTATAGTTATGAAAACTGTAAAATTATGTGCATTGAATCATACAGATTTATTTTATTATGAATGAACTAAGAAGTTCCCAAGAAATACTAAAGATATGATGAGAAAATAACATACACAAACTTTCAGAGGCCTTGTCCCTTAATGTTTACCCAATAACATTTACCCAATGTAACGTTTTGCCACAGATTCAGGTCATATGCATATAGTAGAATCAGTAGAATAAAACCATAAAAGTTTAATAAGACATGATACTACTACAAACGATATGTCCTTAATCTGTGGTTTTACAGTTTTTCCATATATTTGATGTGAATGAGGTGACGTCCCATATTGATCACAAGAATGACCATTTTTACAATATTCCATATTATCATAGAAAGATCCAAGGGATTAAAAAGCTATCAGACTTCTTTGATGTTTTTGTCATGGTAGTTTAGCCTAAGGGAGTCTGATTAAAATGTTTCTTGCAATCAATATATCCAATAATGGACAGTGGTTCTAGGGTCTCTGGTGTTGTAATACAATTTTATCTCAATGGGAGAACTGCGTTTAAATTGGATTTCTTAATTGATTGAATCATAATCTGCATATTTTTAATATCAGTTATCTGCAATTAGTATTTTAATTAGTTGTTTTTCCAGAATTAACCATAATAAAAATTATTTAGGTCGGTCAATCAATGAGGTAAACAAGATGTATCCGTCAATAATCCAAATGAAAAATAATAACTTAATTCAATATTATACATATGTATGTAAAAGTTGGTTTACACCAATTCTTACTTCTATTTCACAGTTTTATGTTTTTTGGGGGTATTTTAATAAAAGCTGATTACTCTCAAATGTCTTTTGTGTAGAAATATTTAATTTTTTCCATGGATCATAAAGACGTGGGCCTTGTCTTGTATGGTAAGAAAATAGATATATTCTTGCCTCATTAATAAATGAAAAAGATGATGATTTTTAGAAATGATTTTTCTTGTTTCCTTGGAAAATAATTTTTGATGACGATTAAGGGGTGATGTCCAAATTGTCAACAGTTATAGAAGAATGAAGTTCATTTCATCGGGGAGGAGGGGTAAATGAAGATTTCAAGTGTGAAAATGTTGATTTTGAAGTAAAGTTTAAGTGAATACAAAAAGTGTAGTTTAAGTAGAACAAAATTAACCTCATTTTTCCACTTTCAACATTTTGACACAATTTCTTAAAAAAACAAATACTGATATGAACATTTTGAATTTATATATTTATTTGTTTCAGGCCCACAAACACCTTGCATTCTTCTTTGATGAGTTACTACCTGGTGCTCAAGTTAGCATTACAAAGTGAAACTACAACGACAGACAGCAACAATACAATAAGTCAGCAGTACCATGACAGTGACACAATGGTACCAGGAAACAACAGTACCCTTAAAAGTGCCAACAAAGGGAATAAAATGAGCAGAATAATCGTATTGGCTTTTTTGTTTGAAACAGCCTTTTTTCCTGGTTTCCATAACACAAATCTCATTTAATCTGAGTCTCTGATTCAGCTGGCAAACACGGAGAATGTAACACTTTGAAGAATCTCAGTCCATGTTAAAGCAGAATGTACTTTACTGTTGGATTTGTGAGTAAGAAAAATGTGACAGAGATGTGACTTAGAAAAATGTGACAGAGACGTGGCTTAGAAATGTGACAAAGTGTAATGATGTTGGCAACTGTGATATATTAAAACCTAGCTTATGGGCTCAAAATAATTCTTATCCGTCCAATTTTGCCGTCCAGTGATTCTCCACTCCACAATGTGATATGTTACAGAGAAATATGAGTATGAACCATTTGCATGAATGCATATACCTTTTATGAAATATATATTTTCCAATCCTCTATGTAGTATTGGTGAGCCCATGTGATGCCACATTAAAGCCCCCGATAAATCGGGCTACGTATACCGCCGTGTTTACATTAGGGGATTAGAAGAGTTTATTTTTACTTTAGGTATGCAAGCAATATCAATATTTGGCCTTCATGCATGTACTCGTGTGTACAATCAGCATGCCCTTCAATATTATATAAGCCAGGCTATTCAAGTACAACATAATGTACACTATTTATGTGTGTACAACATGGGAATACAATTCCCTGGGAAACAAAACACAAATACTTTTTATATGTTCAAAATGAGCCATTTGATTGATGCATACACTTAATACCTTCATATATAAACATCTACAAAGTATATCTAATAGTCATTTTCAATTCCAAAGGTGAAACTTGCCTGGTTACGATTATACGGGAAATCAACACGGGACGATATTGTTCACCTTCCTGGCTTACCTCTGAAGCCTGTACCCTGTAATCTCTTTATATAGGTTAGCGAGAGCGCTGCGCCTGCGCAGTTTTAAACTTTGGCGCACACTTTAAGGAGCCACACCAAGCAATCCCAATGTCTCCTTGAGGAGGAAAACTTGTAGGTGAATGTTTTAGTCAGTCTAGCACATGGCCTCAAATTAAGGCAACCCTCCATTCATTTACACATGCTAAATGCCATGTTTTTGTAGACTATGCATTAGTCTGTATTTGATTACATTTCGCTATATTATATATACTGTAGTAACAAAATGCACGTTTATTTTAATTGTTGGAGTAAGCTAGCCTTGTTTTGTATTTTCTTCACATAAACACAATAATTAAATACCTCTCCCTTTGGTTGACTTTTAAAATTATATTGTTCCATTGATAACCTCAACCTGAACACTAGGATTTCAATGTTGAAATATAATTTTAACAGTTAACCTCTGGATAGGTGAACAATTGTATACTGTACACTTGTATAAGATGTGTGATATGGACTGATGGAAGCTAGCTTTAAAATTGTGTTTGCTTGATGTCTTCAACTGCCACATGATGGCGAAAAGGTGCAACTTATATACTGTATAGACAACTATCTGCTTTTTCTCATAGATATATGTGTATGTAGTTGTATGTATTTGTTGAAAAGTATGCAGTATAATATTTGTATAGAATACTGTAACATTGCTCTATTTTCCATATACCCATTAACTTGGGACTATATATAATTTATGCATAAAGTGTATATAGAATAGTATTAGTACATGAATCCAAAGCAGAATCCATCCAATATTTATGTAAATATATCATGCATTATTGCAGTGCATGAATCTAAGCAGAATCCATCCAACATTTTAATAATGGTTATAAATGTATTGAATATGTTATGCATTTTTATTATATTATCGTACAATGTACATGAATCCAAAGCAGAATCCATCCAATATTTGAACAACATTAATATCTATGTTTCGTATTATATTATTACGATATACATACAATAAATGTTATATATTTATACATATGTGATACACAGATGATTTAGAACCTGCTGCCTTAAGCTGTCAGTGGTGTAGTCATTTAGAATCCGTCCGAGGATAATATAGTAGACCTCTTTAGAAGTCAACTGTCAAAATTGCTTACTTATTACTGACTGAAGATCAACGGTAAAGATGACATGTCAAGGTCAACTGGAATTTCAAGGTTTAGAAGTTTTTTCCATATATTTATGATGAAGTTTAAAATGTCCAAAAATGGGCAGTTTTTAGTATTTAGGAAGTGAAAGTAATTTGAAACTACATGGCACATTAAAAAAGGTACTAGATCATCAAAAAGGTATGAGAACATCAAAATGTCAGAATGGAATATTTCAAATAATTTTATAAACTTTCACTGGTTTAATTCTATATGTTGACAAAATTAGCTGCATTCATTTCTCAAAAAGGCTACATTTAAAAGTATAGGATGTGCTTGAATACAAAACTACATACAAAATCAGAGCTGTGTTCATTTGTAGTAGATGTACATAACTTAAGAATGCAAACTATACATGAAAGCCCTTTAGCCAAGTGATTAAGCTAGGTCTACATGTAAAATTCTGTGTCAATCTGTAATTATAACTTATCCACTGAGTTTACTAAATATCAAATTCTGATGTTTAATTGACTAAAACTGTAAAATCATTAAGACCAGGGTGTCACAGGATGTATGTCTGTATTACACCATTACACCATTAAAGCAAGTTTATGGAAGTCAGGAGTATAGGTTTCCTGACCTCCTTAATGGATCACCTCAAAATGTCAGAGACTCGTATCATCTTTTATAACCTTTACTCTTATAGTTCAGCTTTTTGTCATTTTTGTGGTGATAACATTTTTAATTGATTATACAAAACACATTTTCATTTTGAATTCTAAAATCAATATCTTCCTGGAAGCGAACCTGAGTTTTCTCTAACAAAAATCAATAAGAATATTTTTACTTAACAGGTGAAGAACTATCTCAGTTTTTATTACACAAACATTTAAATACACTTAGGTTTCAGTTTGTTATGACCAGAAAGCAAACATATCTGATGTGATATTTGATAGTTTTATACTTTGATTTAATTACAGTTCGATGCAGTTCGGTGAAGTTTAAAATAATAATTCTCACTTCACTTCAAAATTGTGGTTCATCATTAGCCTATTTCATGCTCAAATCAGAAATTCCACATGTCAGATTTTTTTGAAATTCTATTTTGATAATTTTGGAGAGAAAAGCATGGAAAATGCATGAAAACTTATGTATGCTGGTATGTAGTTGATCAATATATGTACCAGTTATTATAAAGTACACACAGTCAATAAGGCCAATATAGATTATTTGTGCGTTAAGCAGGAAAAATATTTAAATGTAGCCATTTTTACTTCAACAAACATCATTGACAATCTCTTGTTTAACTAAACTTGAAGAATGGATGACATGGGAGGTTAAACCAGTGAAATACCATTGTACAATGGTTATTTGTTGATTTTTCATGCTCTGTGGCCGCCTTCCTTGTTATTTTAGGGCAAGAGTCAATAAATCCATAAAGTACTCAATAAGAAATTATTTCCGCAAACTAAGATACCTGAGTACATACAAATAAATATGTTTTCTATAATTGTATTCATATTGAACTATTGACAAGAAAATTCATTCATACCTGGAATATTATTTGTGTTTCATATTCTTACTTGTTTTGTTTTGAAAAATTGGTATAAACTTGATTTTGTTTGCATGTAGCATATTTTAAGTTGTAGTTCACATTGATTGTTGATTTACTGAAAACATCTATGGATGCCCGAATGCATCCATTCCATTTATTGTTGGGAGATGGTGGCCCAAGTGCCAGAACTTAGTACATAAGTGACTCATATTGTAAAACAAAGTTCACTTTGTGAATTGGTCCCCATTGGTGTTTTGATGTGATATCCCAAAAGGGCAACAAAGACAAAAAACAAAGACTAGGGATACTCATTCAACATTCCAGGCCTGATCCTATTTTCTAAAACATTTTACGCTCTATTCTTTGATGCTACTTTAATCTGCAGGGTGGCCCAAAAGTTAGTTTACAGTTCTTCAAGAATCTTGTTCTGTAAACTTTTGGGCCACCCTGTAAAAGCCTTATTTATCACAACCAGTTGGTTTTAGTTTGATGACTTAGTTTTAGATCTCATAGGGAAGTCTATATGTATATGTATAACAGTAAATATTGTTAAGAAATAAAGTTGTTTTATTTATGTTACATTCTATATTATGTTCAATTGATTTGATTTATAGAAATTGATTTTGGATTCTTATTTTCTCAGGATTTCTCTTTTCAATTTGGAATTTTAAATTCAAAATGGCACCCTGGTATGTTTCTTACATCATTTTTGAAACTTTATTAATGTAAATGTATGGATGAAAAGAAGTAAACCCAATAGTCTAAGGGCTGCTTCAACAATGCCAATACACTTGTAGAAAAGGTTTGGGACAACATTAAAGTACCACTGTTTAAGAACCCATTTTCGGACTATTTGTAAACGATAGGGAACACACTAGTATTTCTACTTTTCGAGACTGAATCAGCTCGAGTTCTAAGATAATGTGGATTTCACCAAGATTGGAAAATATATTCAGTTTCTGACTTACGAATTATTTTGGCAAAAAATGGAAACATGAATACTATATTTATGAATACTATTGTATTTATTTTTGAACTTATTAAGCTTATAACAGGCTCTACGCCATTCGTCTGCAAACTTTTCGCTTCCTCTAAACTTAAAAAATGACCACCGTGGTATTTTCTGCATGTCTTTTGTATAGAGACATATATATTTTGCATTTTGTCAAATAATACACTATATATTTAGTCTAGCTAAATGCCCTTGTGATCCCACATCACACACCACGGGCCAAAGTTGTCAAACACAGCAAAGTACTTCATATAACAGCAGTGCACTTTATCACCAATCACCGCATTCAAGGTCACTTGTTAAACAGCTGTCAAGGTGACAACTTCGACTCCCCAGATTGAAATTGATACTTTGCCAATTTGACCTTTGCAAAAAAATTCATTGAAAATATGTTCTTTTAGTGATTTTGTATCTTTAAGGTGATTTCGTAGAAAATATTTTGCAATGTGTGAGAAGAATTTAAGCCCAAGACTGCATTGTGGCTGCTTCATTCTACTCAGGCGTTGTTTCCTAAACTTTGCATTCCCGCTGCGTGGTCATGTCAAGATTTGAAAACAAAATCTTCAATGGAATGATTCCAGGACTTAAATCCTTAAATATTTGTATTTTTCATATCCCGGATTCATATACTTGGATACTGTATACATTGACTTTTGTATCTATACAGTCTTGAATAGAGTTGTTCTAAATGATTGTTTATACAGTTAATGACATATAGTTGCACAAATTCATGTACATGATGTTCATAATAGCTAAGTTGATTAATTCATTTATTATTATTTATTGATTTATTTATACAAAATGAGTATAATGTAATAGGGCATGATTTGCAAAATGAAATATTTACTTTTTAACAAAGTTACATTTTGAAATGACGCCTTCTTCATTAAT